ACTCTTTCCCTCCCCAGCCTGGCCCCCCAGATCTTGCCCCAAAGTGCTTGACTAACCAAACTCTAATGTCTCTCAGGCCTGGCCAGGGCCAAGTCTATCCCAACCAAAACATACTCCAACGAGGTGGTGACGCTGTGGTACCGGCCTCCAGACATTCTGCTGGGCTCCACAGACTACTCCACCCAGATCGATATGTGGTGAGGCCCCGGGGGAGGGAGGGGAGAGGAGGGAGCAGCCCCTTGTGGCCCTGGGGCCTCAGCCAGGCCCTCTCTCTGTGCCCTAGGGGCGTGGGCTGCATTTTCTACGAGATGGCCACAGGCAGGCCCCTCTTCCCTGGCTCCACAGTGGAGGAGCAGCTGCATTTCATCTTTCGGATTCTGGGTGAGGGCTCCATTGGGTCGGGAGGGGAAGCAATTCCACTGGCGGGCTCCTCAACTGACTCTTTCATCTTTGTTGGCCCCCCCCCCCCCCAGGGACCCCCACTGAAGAGACTTGGCCAGGAATCTCATCCAACGAGGAGTTCAAGAATTACGACTACCCCAAGTACCGGGCCGAGGCGCTGCTGAGCCACGCACCCCGGTGAGAGCCTGGTGGGGCGGGGCTGGGGACAGGGGGACGGGAGGAGAAAAGGGGGGACCTGGGACCAAGGCTTCTCTTTGTTCCTTCGGCAGGCTGGACACTGATGGGGCGGACCTCTTGGCCAGACTACTGCAAGTGAGGAAGGGCCTGCCAGGGTTATGTCAGCCCTGGGGGCTGCCTGGAGCAGGGGTGGGAAGAATGAGTTGGGGGCGGGAGAGAAGGGAGAGAAGGGAGAGAAGGGAGTCTTGTTTTTGGTCCTGAGGGATAACCCAGAGGAAGGGAACCCTGGGGGCCAAGTGTGCTTGTTGGGGGAGGATGGGAAGCAGGGCCTTGGATGACGTGCTCATTGGGCTTCATTGTCAGTTTGAGGGACGGAATCGGATCTCTGCAGATGATGCCATGAGACACCCCTTCTTCCAGAGCTTGGGGTCAAGAATCCATAAACTCCCTGACAGTGAGTGGGCTGGGGCTAGTTGGGAGGGGGACGCATTTGGCTCCAGCATGGCCTGCCAGGGGACTCCAAATGATGCCTCTTGGCCTCTCTGCTCTTTCTGCAGCTACTTCCATATTTGCACTAAAGGAGATCCAGTTACAGAAGGAGACGGGCCTTCGCTCAGCCTCCCTCACAGACTCGGGTGGGTGTGGCCCCCACCCTCTGGGCCCCTCCGGCTGTGGGCCGGCTGGCTCTTCCCAATAGCTCTCTGCTTCCCCCCACAGGCAGGCCAGCCTTCCGGGTGGTGGACACCGACTTCTAGGTCCTGGGGGCAGCTGGCTTTGAGAAGGTGCTGGTGACTGGCTGGAGGTCGAGGCCTCTGAAGGCCCACCCAGGCCGCTGGGAGGAGGGCTGCTGTGGAGCCAGTCTTGCTCTCTGCCTACCCCACCCTACCCCACCCCAGCAGTTTGTACCTCGCCGCAGCCTCCACGCCCCTCCACTAACCTGCCTGCTCCTGGCTCAGCTGCCTCTCTCGCCCCATTCCCCCCCATTCTCCTACAACTGACTTTTGTGGAAGGGTGCTAACAAAGCTCTTCCCTCCCTCTGCTGTCTGGCTGTTTGTTTGTCTGTTTTTCTCCAGTCATCGGACAGCATGGCTGGGGCAGCCTCTGGCTCCGAGGCGGCAGCCCCCGATGACCCTCCCTTCTTCTCTGCACATATCCCCCCCCTGCAGCCCTGAGGAGAGGGAGGGAGACAGGGAGGGAAGGAGGCAGGCCAAGGCCTCTGGGACCTCCCTAGCAGAGGTGATCCTGCCCCACTCCAAAATGGCCTACCACGGCCCCAGCCTCCTGCGTCTCTAAGACCCACTTGCCCTTTTTTTTAAAAAAAAAATTATTTTGAATGAGGATTTTATTTTTTAAATGTAATTATCTTTAACATGCAGAACGACTGGGCCTGCCCCGCCCCCTACTTAGGCCCCCAGTGTTATGTGCAATGAATGCTCCTAGCCATTGGCCAATCAGGAGGCTGGGACCTTGGCCCGGCTCCAGCCCCTCCCCTCCTTCTCCCCGCCCCCTCCCCCCCCCCCACCAGCAGCCTGGGGCTCCTCAGAGGACCTAGGGGCCGAGGGAGGGGTGGGGTTCTTTCCCGCAGCTCTCCGCTAGGGGCTCGAGAGGTGCCAGAGGGCCAGGTCTGGGATCCCGCCGGGCTGGCTCCGCCCTTTCTCCCCCCCCCCCGCGGCCTCCATCTCGGTGTCCCGAATCGACGCTCCGCCCCTGCTCGCCTCCCCCCACTCCCTCGGTGCCGATGGGCAGACACGGGGCCCCGGGAGCCCGTGCGGGGGGAGCGAGAGGGAGGGCCTCCCGGATCGGGAAGCTGGGGCCCGAAGGCCCTGGACGGTTCTTCCCTCCCCTCCGTCGCCTCGGCCCGCGCCGGCCCGGCCCGTGCGGGGCGGGGCGTTGGCTCCCGCGCGGGGGGCGGGGGGAGGGGGGCTCGGCTCCCCTGTACACCCTGGTCGCTGTATGAACTATTAAAGGCTCAAGTGAAGGCGAGCGAGCGAGCGAGCGTGCGTGCGTGCGTGCCTGGCTGCCTCCGTCTGTCTGTCTGTCCGCCCGCACGGCGACGGCTCGCGTTCGTACCGCCTACCCCAGGGCCCGCCGACGCGGCCCCTTTCCGCACACCACGAGGCGGGCGCATCGAGGGCTGCTCGGCCGGCACTGATTAGGCGCCAGCTGCGTGCGGGGGGGAGGGGAGGGGAGCGCAGCGCGGCGCGGGTCCGAGCGCGCGCGGAGCGGCCAAGGCCCCAGCCCGAGCCGCGCGGACGCGGCAGCCACAGCCCGAGCCCGAGCCCGAGCCCGAGCCCGAGCCCTCGGGGCGCAGCGACGACCAACGCCGAGCGGCGCCGGCCGGCCGGCCGTCCCTCGGCGGGACTCTGACGTCGGGGGTGGGGCGCCTGGCGGGCGGGCGGGCACTCACGAGGCGGCTGGGCGCCTGGCGGGCTGCGGCGCGGTGCACAGCCTCGTGCGGGCCCGGAGCTGCTGCGGACGGCCAGGCGGGGCGGAGCGAGGCGCGGCAGCACCGGCGGCGGCCACACCGAAGGAGCTAGCGAGCCTCCGCCGTCCGGCCCCCCTCGGGCCCGCACGCCCCACCGTGCATGGGGAAGCCCCCCGCGGAGCGCCCCGGAGCCAAGAGGCCGCCGGCCCGGCCCCCTCCGGGCCCCGCCCCCAAGCGGGCCCCGGTCCCGGCCGCCACCGCCGCCGCCGCCGCGCCCCGCTCGGCCCTACTGAGCTCCGGCCCCCGCGAGCGCGCGGCTCCCGCCGCTCCCGCCGGCAGCCGTTACTGCGGGCCCGGCGCGGCCCCGGGCCCGGCCTCGGCGCCGCGCGCGCGCCGCCCTCGCGCCCGCCCCGCCAGGGCGCCCGCCCCGCGGAGGGCGGGCCGAGGCCGCGCCGCTTCCGGCCGCCGGGGCGGGCACGCGGTGGCCGGAAGCCGGAAGCGGCGCCGAGGCCGCTTCCGGTCTCCCGCCGCCGAGGCCGAGGCTGAGGGTGCTCGGGCTGCGATGGCGGCCGCGGCGGCGCCGGGGGCGGAGCCGGGCCCGGGGGCGGGGTCGGTGCCGAGTTTGGAGAGCCAGCGGCGGCTGGTGGAGGACGGGGAGAGCGGCCGGGAGCGGCCCCTGCGGCCGGGGGAGAGCTGGTGAGCGAGCGGCCCGCGGCGGCGGCGGCGGCGGCGGCGGCGGCCGAGGCCCGAGGCCGGGG